AGGCTCTGATTAAATAGTGTTTTATTTACATGCATTCAATGCTCAATGTATGACAAACTCAATGTTTTATTAATTCCCAAATCTTACGGAGACATGAATTGAAGCCAAATTAGTATTCACTCGTTTTGTCATCAAATAAAAGCAATTTTTTTGATTAAAGGCTTTTAGGAAACCCAGAGAATCCGGTTCATTGAGGCTCTCAGTGGGGTTGAGACGAATGAGGCGGTCGTCCAAAAGGCACTGAAAACACACGACAAGCCTTTTGTAGGAGAAATCAATTGGTAATTAAATTTATCAAAAGAAAATCAAATCAACTCATAATTGTATTTACATTTTATGTGTTATTTAGGGTTTTATTTAAATTACAGCAGACAAAATTTGTTTGTTTTTAAACTCATTTATTTTGCAAACAAACAAATTGCACAAAAGTTTTTCGAGTTTTGCTTTTATTTTCGTGAGATTTAACGAGAGTTTTAGTTTTATTAAAGTTTTACGACTAGTCTACACATAAACGCTTTTTATGGTAAATAAAATTTAAATGTTTTCAATTGATCGCAGATTGAAAATATATTAAAACAGATCTCTATTTACAAACTATAAATTAAACAAATAACAAAGTGTTTGTGATAATAACGATAATGAGCATGGTAGAGATTATCATTAAAATAAATATTACCGTACTCTAGCTCGTAAGTCTGGGAGTAATAATGTTTTTATGACACAAATGGGGGAATATTTAAGAATCGATTAGAATATGTTTGCCTAACATATTATATGACACTTACAGCACATTACAAGTGATAGTAATGTTTTTGTAGTAAAACATTAATCCCATAAATATAATATGATTTCATTTCAATTTAAAAGCATTGCTGACAGAGAAGGGAATGAAATGAGAATAAGAGATGACATAAGGAAATAGACATAAAAAGTAAATGACATGAAGAGAGAGAGAGGAGAGTGAGTGGAGAATGAGTTTTCATCAGCAGATGAAATGGCGCTTAAATGCGGATTTGTATGACTGTCTAACTGTTGGGCCCACTATTGCCACTGGTATTGGGACTGCCAGTATTTAAATAAAATATTACGCGTATACCAGTATATAATTAATAAGTATTTAATATGAACTCATGAATAATCCTGGTAGAGAGAGAGAGAGAGAGATAAATAAGAGTTTAGAGGCACTGGCAGTCCCAATACCAGTGGCAATAGTGGGCCCAACAGTTAGACAGTCATACAAATCCGCATTTAAGCGCCATTTCATCTGCTGATGAAAACTCATTCTCCACTCACTCTCGCTGTCTATGTCTTCGCCGATAGGATCGACAGCTCATATACTGTACATAAAAAAGTGGCTAATATTGTGATGTCTGTGCTCTGGTGTGATGTGCCTTTTTTGGCACAACTAAATGGCTGGTGGTATCTGTTTATCTGTATTCACAGTCTCTCATGGATTACAAGTTCGCACAGAAATGCCAAACAGTTTCCGTTGAAGGCATCAAAAACAGTGAGGCATCACATCATCGCTTAAACATCACTACTATTACAGTATTACTGCAAATACGTTAATGACATATGAGTTAACACTAGCTCAGCCTAACGCACTACCATTCCCTTTTATCATTTCATACTCGCTATTATTATAATCGTTATAACTTTAGACTATAAACTCATACAAAAAACATTTGAGCAAAAGTATTATATAATTACTCATCACTTGAAGTCATGAAAGCATAAAAGTGTGGCACAGAAATTGCTTTTAATATAATGCCAATAGTAATTAGTCGTAATTATTTGCCATCAAATTAATAAATGTTATTATAAAGTTAAAACAATATCATATCTGTTGACCCATAAATGATATATAAAACCAATAGATATAATTACTTTATGCACTTAATTGCTATCCTGTATCAAATTTTACAGCAATTATAATTTTAAAATATGTCTAACATTTAAATTATCAAAAATAATTCATTAAAATTTATTCAATTTATGAAATAAAATAAACTACTCTGGAGTTATTTGATACATTTGGCAAAATAATTATTTAGATTTAGAAGCAAACATTTGCTTTAATTAAGTCTTAATTTTTGATAGGATTTCATTGATGGAAACGAGAGAAAAGTACTTTCATTTACACAACGAGTGAGAAATGCAAAATAATGCACAAGAATTGTATGCAATGTTCAGATTCTTTAAGATTTGCTAAATTTAAATCCATTGAGAATATCATAGATTAAAGTGAACGACAATTTTGAGTAAAGAGAATATTCTGAGACTACAACGGGATCTCTCTCTCTCTCTCTCTCTCTCTCTCTCCCTCTCCCTCCCTCTCTCTCTCTCTCCTCTTCAGATTTTTCGACTCATATAATCTCAAGAATCGGTTGAAAAGAGTAGATATTTTGCATATATTTGTTTTGCGAGTGAAAAGGTTTGGCGGGACTCTTATATACAGTGCTAAGTCTGACATTGACTGTGTTTTCGTGAGATTAGATTATCTCACGATTATGTCATATGTATAAGTTTGGCCTCAAATATAAATACATTTTGCTTATAAGTTTTATAATATTAATTAATTAATTATTAAATTTTCTTATTGACTCTCATCTCAACTCCAACTCTACGGAAACAATTTGTGTGTATTTTGTTTATAAACTCATTTCGAAATTTACTTTTTATTTTCCACTAATTTATGTCTAAATTTTATTTTTTTGTATTTTTTGTCTGTTTGCTATTAAGCTTTTAATTTGTTATATATATTTTCACCCATAATTATATCCGTATTAATAGACACAACACTTTGACATACGATATAAACACTCATATCATTGATACCCACAATAAATAGTTATAAATCGCAAGTTTTTACACGATTATGTAATTAGTAAAAGTTTTTCTCGCTCACGACACTTCCCGCATACCTGTGCCCACACACACCTTACCTATGGCACAGACATGCCGAATATCATACAATGAACTGAATGTGTTATATAATGTATAGTAAGTGTATTTTATAGTCCTTTTCTATTGGTTTTTCAAATTGACATCAAATAAAAAACTTTGTAATCAATTTTCAGACCCACTATTGAATCGCTAAATGATTTGGCATTAATTCAAACCGTAGTTTGAAAAGCAAACAAATCAATGAATAAGTGTTTCTCTCGATAAGTGTAGACACAATATATACAGTAATTTGCAACAACTATTTGATAGATATTTTTCATATGTGATACACAAATAGTGCTGAGAATTGTCGCCACAATTGCATTAATGAGCGCTTATTTTATTTATTATACGAGTTTTCGCTGTTTCTCTCAGCCGTAAGTGATATTTATTTATAACACTTTTTTCCGGTGAAGACAGTCACTGGAGAGCTACCAGTCCTCTCAGCACCGACTCCTATAGCCCACCAATACAGGCGTCACTTCACTGCCTGTCAGTCAAAAGGACCGCAAGAATCGCATTCAAGACTCCAATTATCGCAAAACAATAACAATAATCGACTCGTTATTACACAAAACTTTTCGCTACCGTATAGTTGTGTGAACAGTGCGAGACAACCACCGGGTCCTTTCAATATGCCGACCACTGAGGGCACCGGTAGTGATAAGCCGACGATAGTGGACAACCACGACGGCACCATTAGTGTGCGCTATGACCCCAAACAGGAGGGCAACTATGAGCTACAGATTAAGCATAATAATGAACACATCGACGGGAGTCCCTTCAAGTTCTACATCGACTCCACTAATAAGGGAACTGTCACTGCATTCGGACCGTACGTACTCATTGAATCACTCTCTTTAGCTCTCTCTCTCTCTCTCTCTCTCTCTCTCTCTCGAAATTTCTTATAATTTATTGGAAATTGTTTTATATTTAATTATATTTAAAATTTGACACGATTTTCCTTGAACAAAATGAATATATTAATTATCGCCTAAATGATTGCCAGTTTTCTAGAGCAACTGGAGGTTATGTGTATTGTGTATTTAAAAATATAAAAACTTTTATACACGTCTCTCTCTGTTTGTAAAGTTTTTTGTAACAAATAATTGAAACTAATATTTTTATATAAAAATATTTTATAAGCCATTGCAAAACAATATTTGTTTATAGTATTATGTGTATGATTTATGGGTTTATGGTAAATTTTGGGTACTTTCAATAGACTAGTATTTTTGTATAAAATACACTATTTATGAATATATTAATTAAAATATTTAAAGTTTTTAATCAATTATGAATTTCGTTTATTTCAATTACGATATTTTCTACAGTTAGTATTTCTATATTAATAATGTTTATAAAATAACATAAATTTTTCCTTTTTATGAAATATTTATGTCAACTTTTTTTTATATACACAGAATATTCTTTGTTTACCATAAATTTTTAACAATTTTCATTTAGCAATTAATTATATCTAAATTGTGTGAAATATTTTTGTGTTATATTTTTTATATAAAGCTATTTATTTTATTCAAAAAATACAACACAAGGATATTCTGACTCTGAATACCGATTATAAGCGAATTAATTATTTCAGCAAATAATGAGCGCATACTTATATAATTCAAATGAAATATAAAAATCACAGTTTAATAACCTTATGATTGATATGTATAGACACACAAACATAGTCACAAATTTACTAAATATATCACGAATTCATTTTTATATAAAAATTTTTATATTAAGGTATTACGATCACTGAATTTATATACAGTTTTGCTTGAATGCTTTTTTATCAAGGACTTTTTAGATTCTAATCACAATTCTAATAAATTCATCAATTGTAAAGATATGTTTATTTATAAATTTGAAAATTTAATGTGTTAAAGGTTATAATTTAAATAATCAAAATATCTTAATTTTATTAAACTTTTCGACATTAAAACATTATTTTTAATATTGAAATTTTACTTAAATAAAAGAAATACAGTATATACTAATAAATATAAGGTATTAATACAGTATATTATTTATAGTGTCAATACAGTATAAGGTATTGAAATATATTGTTTGTATGTTTTCACTTAAATCCTATACTGTAATTATTTATAGGTTTCACTGGATTTTTGGTTAAAATATAATATAGTCTGAAAATAAACACATTTTTGTAACTTTTGTAACTTTTTTCACTTATGAATAGTCGATAAGAATTTCTCTTAATTACCTAATAGTCTGGAAATTTAGAAAATGTTTAACTGTGCTCTCTCTCTCTCTCTCTCTCTCAAATTGAGTATTAAGTTGTGTTAAGCTTAGACAATAAAAATACTAATTTTTGAAGTAAACAAGTTATTTCTCAGAACCTAGATTTATTTTATTTTTATATAACTTAAGATAAATATTTAACAAATAAAATAAGTTTAAAAATCTCATTGTTTGTACGAATTATACGGAGAAAACATATAATTATACAGCATTACTGTATCTCTATAAATATTTTGCTCTACACTGCACTGGTAGCTAGAAATGGATGTCTTTAATTACGGTTAATTAAAATACTTTTAAACATTATACTATACAGTCATTTATTTTAGTTATAACTGTTTAGTAAAATAAGATTCATTATTAAATCAAGTTATAAATTTTTTATAAGAAGTTATTTTAATAAATAAAACATATTTAGCACTTATTTTTACACTCAATTTATAAACATTTATGCGATAATTACTGTATATTCATAACCACATTGATTAAAGATTGAGATTAGATAACAGTATACAATTACAATCTGTACAGTATACAATTACAATCTGTACAGTATACAATTAAAAAGGCTTAAAAAATAATTTTTCATCAAAAAAATTAAATTATATTTATACCCTTAATTAAATAGTGTATTAAATTGTGGTTTAAAATAAATGTTCATTTAAATGATACAAAAAAATAAATTCTGAACACTATTTGTAAGTATTTCGTAACAAACAATAATAAACAGAATATTCTGCATTACGATTAATGCCAGACATTCAACAGAATATCTATTTATAAACGAAAATAATTTAAACATAAGTTTATATAAACTAATAATTAATTCATGTTTGTCTCCCACAAAACCACGTGACTACCCCACACGCTATGGTCAGGGGTCTAACCCATGGCGCTGCCGGTGATCCGTGCGCTTTCACGGTGTACACGAAGGGTGCCGGTGCCGGGAACCTACAGGTGGCAGTGGAGGGGCCGTCCAAAGCGGACATACAGTGCAAGGACAACAAGGACGGCACGATAAGCGTCTCG